CCTAAATCCCACCACTCAGGATTGGCAAAGATCCTCTTCTGAATATCCAAAATCTCCACTGGATTTTTAGATCCACTTGCTACTAGGTCTCTAAATCCCACCACTCAGGATTGGCAAAGATCCTCTTCTGAATATCCAAAATCTCCACTGGATTTTTAGATCCACTTGCTACTACGTCTCTAAATCTCACACTTGGGATTTTCCAGGACCTCTGTTGGATTTTCAGAATCCCCACTGGATTTTTAGGTCCCACTCTGCTGCCACCAATTTGTGACCAGCCCCCAACCTAGCCTTGTCACTTCTAAAATAACTTTCCATTTAGGGGCTTGACCCCAGCCATTAATCACACTAGACCCAGAATGAAACAATGGTATTCTCTTTATTTCAGAGCAGCAACAACTCGGGGAATCAGACTGTGCTTCATTTTTTCTTCAGTTCCAGCCCAACAGCCCAAACACATCCTCCTTCATCTGTTACATTTTTTTCTTCTCAAATATTACAGTCCTCCAGTCCCTCCTCCTTCGTGCTCTCCGGGATAGGCTGTCCACATGCATTTACCCAGCCAATCACCTCTGTTACCAGGCAGGTTGAGCAGGGTGTCCATCCCAGCAGGACTTGCTTTTTGATTAGGTTATGTATACTTTTGATGTACTTTTTCCTTCTTATATATCACTTTACTGAAAACTCTGTGAAGGTGCAAATATATGTATACATTTATGTTTCATTGGAATGATCAGTGGAAGAAAGTTAAATTATAACTTTGGGACTACCAGATTTGACTAGCAGTTTAATGTATGCATTCATTATGTTACTAGTTTTGTGAAGACTGCATTTTTTTGAAAGGAAAAAAAATCTAAAAGAATTCTAAAAGAATATATATATTATGGAACTGTTTCTATTCTAATTCTTTCCTGACAGACTTAAATTTCCATTGCAAAGAATGCCTGTGGGTAGCTGCAGGCAACCCTGATGTTACAACCTCTGAAGCACTCAAAACTTTTCCAGACTCTTGTTGGCATGCCAGAATTGAGAGAGGAGCAACATTTGTCTTTTCCTGCTTCTTTCATATTTATGGGGTTTTCGTAAATAAATTGTTGCCTATCGGTTGAAATCCTTACTGTACTTAGCTTAGTGAGTTGCACTAGAGCAAGGCCATTGAATCATTGGGGATTTGCTAAGTCAACTCCTTCAGAAGTGGTTGTGATTTTCTTTAGCACAGTACGTTGCAACTAGAACAGGCCCATTTGAATCAGTAGACTGTATGGGGGAACCGACTTCCAAATCGCCAGTGATCCAGTGGGTCGGCTATAATGTGACTTATTTTGCTATGCAACAGAATTTCAGTCACTGAAACGAGCTGATGTGCATCTGCTGCTGTTTCATGGGGAATGTCTGGGATCCAGGATGGATTGTATGTTCAGGCCTTCCCTCCTGTCAGTATTTAATTCTTTCTTTTTTTTCCCTTTCATTTATTATTTGTTTTATTATTGTATGTGTTATGGACTATTTGTAAAATCCTTATATACCTTATTGGAAGCCGCCTAGAGTGGTCGACCAGACCAGATGGGCAGGATATAAATCACATAAATAAATAAATAAGTAAATAGATAGATAGATAGATAGATAGATAGATAGATAGATAGATAGATAGATAGATAGATAGATAGATAGATAGATAAATGCTGCGATCTCTGCAGTTCTGCAGCTTCTTCAGTTGTGCCCAGTTCCAGACTTTTGGCAGTTCCCCATCCCCTCCCTTGAAGGTCCAGTGTTGAAGAGATACTAATTGTGGCTATGGGGTGAGGGGTGTTCCAGAGTTCTTTTTTTGTTCTTTTGAACCCCCATCCCTGGGGAGATCGTGTGCTTGAGGAGTGACACCTTTTTACTTTTCCAGAGCCTGTTTTTTTTTTGCACATGGCCAATGGGAAGGACTTTAAGAGTTGAAGTCCAAAACACTGTGTCCTGTTATTCCTGAGATATATGCCAATGCACAGTGGATAGCTCTACCCATGTTTCTTTCAGTGTTTTTAAAGCCTATTAAAATTTACAAATAATAATTTAATCATCTCTTTTTAAGACTTAGGCAAGTTACCTGCTTGGCTTTTATTTTTCATTTTAAAATAAACAAAACATTGACTTATTCAAGATAAGGTGATCCAGTGATTTCTTTTGTTAACTAAGTGTAGGGTAACGTTAAGTGAAAAATGGATTAATTTGAGGATTCAGAACAGATTATGTTGAAATCATCAGGAATAAGATTTGAAATTTTATATTTTTAATACATTCTGCAGCAATGTGTTCTAAAACCAGGCCCATAAAAATAATCAAGAACCAGATATTGTAAAGGTAGGGCACATTTAGCATTGGGCTGGAGGGGATTTTTATGGAGAGCCTATTAATGGTTACTTTTTGAAATAAGCAAACAAAAATAAGTTTGCAAGTTATTTAATGAACCATAAAAACATTTTAAGTATATTTGTATTTTGTTTCTGTAGTTACGTGTGCTTGTTCTCTCTGTAAACATGCCTCATTTTGAACCTTATTTGCACAACATTTCCAGCCTTCTTTCTGTTTTGGCTTTCTCTTTCAAATTACAATGATTCAAACAGACCTTGAATTTTTATGGCAATAGCAGGAAAGCTTGGCTTTGCAGACTTTTAACTAAATTCAAGTGAAGAACAAGGAAAAGAAGAAACCTGTGTGTGTCATTCCTGCTTCTGGATGTACAGATTTTCTTCGACTGTAGTGGGGAGGCAGAAATCATTTTATTGTATGGTGAGAATTTTGGGAGCTCCTGGGTTGGGGGAGGAATGGTGTGACCAAGTGAGGAGGATTGTGTCATTGTTTTGGGCTGCTCTTTGTCCTAGAAGACTTTGTTGGCTCTATTGACCTTCTGCAGTATCTGGTGCTGCTGTTTGTGAGTTTTAAGAAAGCAGTCATTCATAAGTGCTTCATGAAACATGGGTACAGTGGACCCTCTACTTACAGAACTAATTCGTATTGGAACAGTGGCTGCAGGTCGAAAAGTCTGTAGGTCAAGTCTCCTTTGACCTACAATGCATTGAAAACTGATTAATCCCATACCCGGCCGTTTTTGTTCTGTTTTTGTTCTGTTTTTGTTCTGTTTTTGTTCTGTTTTTGTTCTGTTTTTGTTCTGTTTTTGTTCTGTTTTTGTTCTGTTTTTGTTCTGTTTTTGTTCTGTTTTTGTTCCATTTTTGTTCCATTTTGGTTTTTTTCTGGTCTGTAGGTCGATTCTCCGGCTGCAAGTTGAACCTAAATTTTGCGGCCAGAGAAGTCTGTAACTCGAAAAGTCTGTATATCTTATTCACCAATGCTGCCTTTATATTTGATGCACATCAAGGTGGTACAGGAGCTCATCAGGGTTTTCAGCCCATAGGAATTCCATCATCCTCATCTGAAAAATTAACCACTAAGACATTGGACATGAAGATTCTCTGATGTTGCATGCTATAGACTAAACAGGATGCTTTGGATTCTGCCTACACTTGCTGAGTGTATCAGGTCCAAGTTAGGACTTTGTTGCTGCAAACACAGCCATGGAGCTGTGTTGGTGATGTAACAAATGCTCACATTTTTCTTGTCTTTGATGAAAAAAGATGCCTCAAATGTATTGAGATATCCAGCAAAAACAGCCAACCTCTGAGAGAGAGAGAGAGAGAGAGAGAGAGAGAGAGAGAGAGAGAGATGCAACTGATATGGATGCAACTGATTCCTGATTCAGAGGTAGTCTATCCCCAGAGAGTTACTGAGTCTGAGGAACTACTTTGGGGGATTTTCTGGTTGGCACAATCCCTACTCATGTTGATGTTCTAATTTAACTTTATGATGGGAAGGTTGTTCTTGTTATGTGCTGTGAAGTTGTTTCCAAGCAGTGGTAACAATGGTAATTCATTGGTCACCCTATGAATTGGTGACCTACAAAACATTGTACCATGAAAATCTTTACCCTTTCCTTGCATTATTGTCTTTTCCAGTGAGTCCAGTCTTCTCATAATATGCCCAAAATATGATAGCTTCACTTTAGTCATATTAGCTTGTAGTGAGAATTCAGGATTGATTTGATCTAGAATTCACTTATTTGTCTTTTTAACAGTCCGTGCTATTTGTAAAACTCTCCTCCAACACCATATTGTGAACAATTTTACTTTTTCATCTCACATTTCTTCCCTGTCTAGCTTTCACAACCAGATATAGTGTATGAATGCCTTTGTCTTCAGTAACATGTTTTTACTCTTAAGGATCTTGTCTAGTTTCTTTGTAACTGCCTCCCTGAATCCTAGTTTTCTTCTAATTTCTTGATTGCAGTCTCCAATTGGATTGGTGATTTTACATAACAGCAATGATTTGTTAGTTTTCAGCATGTGTTTGTTTTGTGGCTACTGTCACGAAATCCTTATGTGATGTTCTTTGTTTTTAGATACCTTCCCCATTTTAAAAATTCAGATATTCTAAGGTCTAGAGAAAGTCTTTTGTCAAAGACAATTTAATCTCTCCCCACGTTTTGTTCAGTTTTGATAAATATACTTCCTTAATTTTAATTCTTAAAGAAAATAGTATAAGCAAATTATTTCACAACCTGCCTAAGTATTTTTTGTTTAAAATCCGGTTCAAAAATGTAATGAAATATAAGTTTTCCCAGGATGTAATAGCTGAAATCCACTAGTAAGACACAACTAGAGTAGACCTTTGAATTAATGAGATTTAGTGAGTCAGATCCTCTTTAACTTCCATTGATTCAGTGGACCTATTCCAGTTGCAACATACTACTGGATTTCATCCATTATTTTCCTATATTTGTTTTAGGCCTTCCATGTTATGTTCCTTATTGAACTAATGTCTAGATAAGACTAGGCATAAGAGGTTATTAATATTTAGCATTCAAGGATATTTTATTAAAAAATTCTCTAGACCAGTTAGTCTAGGGTTGAAGGATGTATACATGGAGAAAGAGATATGAATTAATACCTTATGTTCTCTAGGTATTTTTTGGAAAATGGATGACGACGACTTTGGAGGATTTGAGGTATGCAGCTAGTAATAAATTATTTGGTTATTTTTTTCATAATTTATCCTGTTTTTATTAGTTGCAAAAAAGAGCCAGAAGATTCTGAAACATTATTTGGGTATCATTCAGCCACTTCTTTGGCCAAAATCATACAGGGATTACCACTCCTATGTCTGAGGAAGTGGATTTGTCTATGAAAACTCATGTTGAAACATAGCAAAGCAGTCTTTAAGGTGCTACAGCATTTTTGCCTTCTTTTTAATTTTATTATTTTTGCTTGATGTCTATGAATTAAGACATAGTACTGTATTGGGAAAGCCCTTGCATAGAAGTTTAATTATATGCCTTACATTTCCAGGCAGCAGAGACTTTTAAGGATGGAAATGGTGAACCACAGACTACTTCTCCTGCTATTCCTTGGGCAGCATTTCCCACAGGTAGAGAAAATTAGCAAAATGCAATGATTCCTTGTGAGTCCCAACTGATCCATGACCATTTCAAATAGCAAAATCTAAAATATGGCCATGTGGTACTTGTTTTAGTTGTGCAAACTATGAGCATAGGAAGGAATATGGAAGTTAATTTTATAGCTAAACTGACAAAGTGTTGTTACTGTGCTTCCCTTTTCAAGTATACCTACTGAGCAGTATAGATGTTTAATTCCTGGCTTCAGCTTCTCCAGCCAATGCTAGTGTTCAGGTGTGTTACTCTGAAGTAACAGAAACACTTAAGGACTTATGGACCTGTTGTTAAGAAGTTGTGTCCAAGGTAAACAATCTCAGTTGAGTGCCATTGAAATTGAAGATTTTACTGTTTCAGCCAAAATTGGAGAGGAAACTTGCAGGTTCATTTTTTCATATAGACAATTGACTTCCCCTTGCACTACTTTAAGGAGTTGTGCATGGCAAAGCCTTTCAGGAACCAAGGCAACCTACAATATGTTAGCAGTTTGTGCAAGGTTTATGTACATAAGACATTGTTTTAATTCATTGTTATTGATGATATGTGTGAATTTTTTTTGCCTTTCCTATACTTACCATTCTGATGTGACAGAGATCCTCTTGTTTTCATGAATGCTTTTCAGATAAATTGCATTGCATATTCAGCTTATGTTGGCAGAATGAAGCATTTACCATATTTTTCTGTTTATAAAACAACACTTTTTCCTAAAATCATTAGAGAAAAAATTGAGGGCCATCTTATACATGGAAGGAGGTGAAGGCGAAGGAGCAGCCGTGCTCGGCTGTCTCTCGTGGCTGCCAATTGACTGCTGCTGCCGCCGCCAAATTGCCTCCTCCAGCGCCACTCACAGGCCCCTTTTGGGCAGGGGTTAAGGCGGTGGTGTGAGCTGGAGGTGATCTCCGGCAGTGGCATGGAGGAGGCGATTGGGTGGCGGCGGCAGCAGTCAATGGGCAGCCTTGGGAGGTGGCTGAGCGTGGTTGCTCCTTCCCCTCCTGCTGCCACTGCCACCCAATCGCCTCCTCCAGTGCCACTCATGGGCTCCCTTCGGGCAGGGGACAAGGTGGCGGCGCAAGCTGGAGGTGAGCCCTGGCAGTGGCGCTGGAGGAGGCGATCGGGCAGTGGCTGTTGCAGCAGCAGGAGGGGGAGGGGGAGGAGAAGCTGCGCTGAGATGCCCCTTGCAGCTGCTCATTGACTGCTGCCACCCAATCGCCTCCTCCAGTGCCACTGCTGGGCTCATGTCCAGCTGATGCTGCCACCTTGTCCCCTGCCCGAAGGGAGCCCATGAGTGGCTCTGGAGGAGGTGATTGGGCGGTGGCAGCAGCTGTCAATGAGCAACCTTGAGAGGCAGCTGAACACGGCTGCTCCTTCACCGCCACCTCTGACAAGGGTCAAAATTGGGGGTCGTCTTACACATTGGGGGGTCTTATACATGGAAAAATATGGTAACATTCTGTTGCCACTTGTACCCCAGGGTGCTATGGTACAACCTTCTAATTCTTGGTGCCTGGAATATCTAATGTTAGGGATGAGGCTTTTGAAAATGCAAATTAGATTTAAAATACCCCACACAAAGAGCAAGTTTACAACTGTGTGTACTGAAAAATCTGTTGTTAGCTGGATACACACATTGAAATTTGTATTTATTAATTATTTAGTGGCCAAAATCCTGTTTTTGTAAATTTACATGGTGGAAGCTGATTATGTCATCAGCTGGTGCTGGTGGTAACAGTTAATTAAAACTAATTAAAAGCTTCCTATGCCCCTTTTGTAGGATCTGAGGTTCCCTAGGGGTTTCTTTTGACTTGGGGAAGCCTTTCAGAGTCCTGGGACAGAACTGGGGGAAGTCTTTAAAAGTCAGAAATTACTGCCAGATTGCTGCCATCCATCCCAAGGCTCTGAAAGGTTTTCCCCAAGGAAAAGAGCCTACAAAGGGGGTCATAGGCACTGAGGAAGAGAGGGTTAGAAGACACGATTACATGATTCTGTTAGTTCTAAATTTAGAAGGAACCATGAGCTGTACATATTTAGAGAAAATTGTGGTTGCTTCTCCTATGAGCCCCAAAAGGAGATCATGTAGTTGGTTCTTTAAAAAAGAGAGATAAATCAGGCTCTAAAGATTGTCTGATCCCTGCCTTTCCACAAAGTTCTCCGAACGGGGTACATTGAAATTGTCTGTTCAGAGTTAATAATAATTTCCAGCCTTCTTTGCTTATCTTTCTCACTGAGAACCAAGTGGAATGGAATCCCAGTGTAACTGGTGATCTGGAAGTAACTAGACTAGTGTCGTCTTTTCTACCTCCAAGTATATCTTTTCATGTATATCTTTACAGACAAAATAGCCTCCCTTCAGGACATGGACCTCAGTGGGATAACAGACCAGTACATTCAGCTGGACTAGGAAGACAGTGTCATCAGAATGCAGGGCTGAGTGTAGTCCAGAGAGACTACTTGTACAAATGCTAATCAGTCTCTTATAACTTTTGGACCTGTAAGACATAAAATATATACATCATAGCAAATAGCTTCACAAGGACTGCCTGTTGACCAACAGATAAGGAATATCTTCTGTGGTCTTTATAAACTCTGAAGCCTTGGATACTAGCCAGAATCTTAGAGAAGGCTGCCAGGATTTCAGGAGCTGTACTAGCAGCAGGCTGTCAACTTTATTTTATGTAGAAAAGTGACATACAGTTGTGTTCAAAATTATTCAACCCCCAATGCTGTAAAGGGGTTTAGGGACTATAGTGTACATTTGGAATTGTATTCAGAATGAAATCCTACAAGGACGTTTTAAAGAACCAAATGCAACTAAAATAACATCAATTGTTTATGTAATACAGTAGTAAATGTTTCTTTTGTGGTTTCTTCATTGCCACAATTATTCAACCCCTTAAAGACTACCACTCTGAAGAAGAGAGGTTCATTCAGGTGTTTTCGATCAGGTATTGAAAACACCTGTGGATGTCACCGAGCACCAATCAAGCATAATAACCACCAATTAGGCAGCTTTAAAATGACTGTGATACTCAGCTCCTTCTAGACATTTACTGGTGTGGTTACAAACATGGTGAAGTCAAGAGAATGGTCCAGGAAGACAAGAGAAGAGGTGATTTGTCTTCACAGGAAGGGCAATGGCTATAAGAAGATTGCAAAGAAGTTAAACATACCAAGAGACACCATAGGAAGCATCATTCACAAATTCAAGGCAAAGGGCACTGTTGAAATGCTACCTGGTCGTGGAAGAAAGAAGATGCTGACTTCGACTGCTGTGCGCTACCTAAAGCGTAGAGTGGTGAAAAGTCCCCGTGTGACTGCTGAGGAACTGAAAAAAGATTTGTCAGATGTGGGTATAGAAGTTTCAGCTCAGACAATAAGGCGCACACTGCGTAATGAAGGTCTCCATGCCAGAACCCCCAGGCGCACCCCCTTGCTGTCTCCCAAGAATAAGAAGAGTCGACTGCAGTATGCCAAAAGTCATGTGGGCAAACCACAAAAGTTGTGGGATAGTGTTCTGTGGACTGATGAAACAAAATTAGAACTGTTTGGGCCCATGGATCAACGCTATGTTTGGAGGAGGAAGAACAAGGCATATGACGAAAAGAACACCTTGCCTACTGTGAAGCATGGCGGAGGGTCAATAATGCTTTGGGGCTGTTTTGCTTCTGCAGGTACAGGGAAGCTTCAGCGTGTACAAGGTACCATGAATTCTCTTCAGTACCAGGAGATATTGGATGAAAATGTGATGCAGTCCGTCACACACCTGAGGCTTGGGAGACGTTGGACCTTTCAACAGGACAATGATCCCAAGCATACCTCCAAGTCCACTAGAGCATGGTTGCAGAGGAAAGGCTGGAACATTTTGGAGTGGCCATCGCAGTCACCAGACTTAAATCCGATTGAGAACCTCTGGTGGGACTTAAAGAAAGCAGTTGCAGTGCGCAAGCCTAAGAATTTGACTGAACTGGAGGCTTTTGCCCATGAAGAATGGGCGAAGATACCCGTAGATCGCTGCAAGACACTTGTGTCAAGCTATGCTTCACGTTTAAAAGCTGTTATAACTGTATGAATTAAGGGACCAAGAAATCCTCAGTCTGTTCACCCGGTTAAGAGAACTAGCTGCAAAAAATGCTTGTGGTGTACTTTTTGTGTGTGTGCCATGGAGAGCGTATATAAGTGAAACATTGGAAACTTTGTGAGCCTGATGTGCTAAGATCTGGTGAGCAGGAAGTTAGCTTCCTATTATCAGACTTTACTGTGCAATAAGTAAAATGGCTGTGTTTATCTTTTGCTCTGTTTAGCTTGTCAAACATCTTGTCTGATACATGAAGTTACTGGTTTTGTCATTGTTACTGCACATTGACTTCCACAAATATTGAATATGTTTCTGCTTATTTTCTTTTTTATTTCTTGTTTCTTATGTAGTACCTGAAATCCACATACCTCAAACAGCTTCATCTGAGATTCTTCTGGAGCAGCCTGTCCCATCTGCGTGCTTTGCTTCTTCTGATCCATTTACCTCTTCAGGTGGTGATATAGTTATTGATGATTATAATTCATCCAGCACTTCAACTGTAGCTGATCTTAAAGAGCAGGTAAAATGTCTGTTGGCAGGATCCAGCAGGGAATATCTGCTGGCAGGCTGGAACTGGCAAATGGGGTGGTGATTCTCCATTGTCACTGGAACCCCCCTGGGCACCTGCAGACCTGGCTATGGAGGGCTGGGAAGCCCTTCATAGCTGGTTTTGGGTGATTCCGAGTGTTGCATTGAGGAGAAAAAGGAGAAGTGTTTATTATGACTCCCCACTCAATATCAGTTTAGGATCTTATGCTTATTTTTTTTAATGCAAAACTAAATTATCAAGGGTAAAATTGTGGGACTTGAGTAGACGTGTAGAGTTGCACTGCAGTCCTTTAGGCATATTATATTGGAAATTAGTGAACTGTATTTTTATAAGTCAAAGAAGCATTTTTAGAGCTGAAATTTTGACTGTATTGGAATTTTCTTTAGGGTTTTTTTTGATAGTGGACCAGTGTAACTCTGGAGTAACTCAAGCCCTACTGTTTTTTTTTTATAATAGTCACAATTAACGTAATTGTTGGAGCCAAAATTCCCCTTCTCTAAACTGCCAAGAGAGAAGTCTAAAGAAGTAAGCAATGAATTAGTGTTGACCATCTTGCCATGCGCCATTTACTTCCTGGTTTTCTTTTAAAACTAACTAATAACTTTATTGCACAAAGTTTAACTTTACTGCATGAAGTTTTGAATCCTTTAAGTTACTCTAAACTCATTTAGTTTAGTTCTTCAGATTGTGAAAAGTCAACAGATTTGGCTTTTTGTACTGACAGTTCATGCTCTGGCCATGTGTATCAGTAACACCAACAAAATTGAAAATATGATAAAGTTTGCATTATCTTTTTGTATTTTCTTGTATAGCCCCATAGTGTGTTAGAACATTTTTGACATTTCATTTTGTGTGTGTAAGTAAATTAATTAAAGAGCTATTTTGGGACTTGTACATATCAGTGGAATTTTGTCATACTTTTTATTGCCAGTTTATGCTGCCAAGAAAATTATGAAGCATTGCTACTTCAAATGCCTGTCAATACTGTGTATTTCATATCACCCCCAAAACAGGCTCCATCATCACTTGATCCTTCACTGGATGTACCAGTTTCCTCTTTGAGTCTGACAGAAAATTTAGAAACTGCAACGGATAACGTGGTAAAGCTGGAATTAAATGAATCTAAGAAGCATCTTCAGGAAACTCTTTCAAGTCTTGAAGTTAAACTTAGGATAGCTGATGAAGAAAAATGCCGAATAAAAAAGGTACAGCTGCATCTCTGCAGAATCATCCTTTGAAATGCACTGAGAGTTTCATTATGGTCATAGCTGGCAACTTTGTCTATAGTTAGGGTTGTCTGACACTTTTCCAGTCCAAGATCCTGTCTTCAGTTACTCTTAGACTTGCCAGACTCTAACCATGTTGGTTTCTTTCCATGCTGGGTGTGTGACTCATTTTGACATATTTGGAAAGTTTCAGGAAAATTGGTTGATTGCTTTCGGAGAACAAGGTGGAAAGATGTTCTGCTGGTGTTCGTGTTGCTTCCTTTTTATATATATATGGAGTTGATGCATTTCTTAGGCATTGCTCTTGTAATAATGCTGATGCTACTGAATTTCACAACAAGTTTGGAACAGCACCTTATTGAATAACACCTCAGTTCATGAAGTGACTAGCACTAACCCTAAGATAATTTGAGAACAACCTACTCTGGAATTTTAAAATAGATTGAGTACCTTTTAATATTATATTTGTATTTCTTGTTTTAGGAGTTCGAAGAGCTTTTGGAAAAATACAGGATTCTGGAAACAGATTTCCTGAAAGAAAAAGAGGATAAATTAATTTCATACCAGGATAGGTACAACAAACTCCAGGTAATATGTTTAACTTGATATTGAGATTAAAAGTGTGGTCCAGGTTTTTTTCCATTTTACTGACTTGCAGATCCAAATGAAAACTATACATATTTATATGCTCTCTCTCTCTCTCTCTCTCTCTCTCACTCACTCACTCACTCACTCACTCACTCACTCACTCACTCTCTCTCACACACACACACACACAC